CTTCAAGCCATGCAAAATGCAGCAGCCAGACTCCTAACCAAATCCAGCAGACGAGCTCACATCACCCCAGTTTTACAGTCCCTCCACTGGCTCCCGGTAGAATATAGAATTCAGTTTAAAGTTTTAGTCCTGACCTATAGAGCTCTTAACAACCAGGCTCCAAGCTACCTATCAGAGCTTTTATCCCCACACATCACCTCTCGGAACCTTAGATCCACATGTGAAAACCTCCTGGCTGTTCCTGGAACCAGACTGAAAACCAAAGGGGACAGGGCCTTTCAGACTATTGCACCCAGACTTTGGAACAGTCTACCTTCAAATCTCTGTCTCTCTAACACTGTAGAGGTCTTTAAAAATCATCTAAAAACTCACCTTTTCATCCAGGCGTTCCCTCCCTAAATGTTTCAAAAAGATGGCTTTGTTCAGGTTCACACCTTCACTTTGTTTATACTCATGATTTTATTTTCTACTTTATCACTGCTATTGTTTTTCTGATGTTTTTATTGGTTAGAGGTATTTGCCCTGATCTTTATGTTGTACAGCGCTTTGTGATTTATATCTGTGAAAGGCGCTATATAAATACACTTTTACTCACTTACTTACTTTTACTTACTTACTTACTCCCCATTAGCCGGATCCAGGTGATTACCGGCCAACGTGGACGTTTTAATTATAAAAAAGCTGTTTATGTGTCAGTAGTGTTTTATTTTTATTTAATAATATGAATGTAGGATATATTTTAATAATATGGATGTAGGATATATTATCTTATTCCTATGGGTAGAGATGTGTAAACAGATTTAATACAAGACTAAAGCTGTGAACATTCAGTCTGAATTGATCTGACTCTCATCAAAATATTTTAAACTACATCAGCCAACAATGCTGACCAACAATCAGAAAAATCTGTTTGTTTCTGACAGAATGAAAAAAGAAATAATTCACTCACAACAACAGCTGGAACTACGTTAATTTTCAGACGGACAAAAGAAACAAACAGTGGCCAAATTTGCAGTCTAAATGCACCAGAAAGCAGAGTTTAACACTTATTTTTCTAATATTTCTAAGGAAGTGTGTACAGAATGTAATTTATTCTTAAACCGTACTGCCCAGCCTTACTTGTAATGGGATTACATTTATTTAACTGTGTTCACTTATTATTACATTCAAATCTTCCTCTCATTAGCCACCTAAAACCATCTCACTCTTCACTGTAGCACCTACCTGCACCTCAGCAGGTCTGGTGCTCCCTGTCTCACCCTCAGCAGGTCTGGCTCTCCCTGTCTCACCCTCAGCAGGTCTGGCTCTCCCTGTCTCACTCTCAGCTGGTCTGGCTCTCCCTGTCTCACCCTCAGCAGGTCTGGCTCTCCCTGTCTCACCCTCAGCAGGTCTGGCTCTCCCTGTCTCACCCTCAGCAGGTCTGGCGCTGCCTGTCTCACCCTCAGCAGGTCTGGCGCTGCCTGTCTCACCCTCAGCAGGTCTGGCTCTCCCTGTCTCACCCTCAGCAGGTCTGGCGCTGCCTGTCTCACCCTCAGCAGGTCTGGCTCTCCGTCTCACCCTCAGCAGGTCTGGTGCTCCCTGTCTCACCCTCAGCAGGTCTGGCGCTGCCTGTCTCACCCTCAGCAGGTCTGGCTCTCCCTGTCTCACTCTCAGCAGGCCTGGCTCTCCCTGTCTCACCCTCAACTGGTTCCTGCTGAACTTCATCTGATCTTTAATATAAAAACAGTGGACAGGAATAAGGAGTAAAAATACTGTTGGACGACTAGTGCAACATTAAAATCATGGTTGTTATAGTATTATTTAGTCGTGTTCACTTGTTATCATGCTCGAATCTTCCTCTCATCATCAACCATCTAAAATCTAACTCCACTGTAGCACCTACCTGCACCTCAGCAGGTCTGGCTCTCCCTGTCTCACCCTCAGCAGATCTGGCGCTGCCTGTCTCACCTTCATCATTTTCCTGCTGAACTTCCACTGGTCTCTTATATGAAAAAAGTGACATGAATGAATAAGGTTTAAAAATGAAATGTGATGAGAATGTCACAAACAAGCAACAATCACACTTACAAACTCCATTTTTATGTGGAAATTCTACTTTTTTATTTATTTCGTGTCAAATGGTTTTTGTCTGTTACTGTAAAATTCGCCATTTTTTGTTGACTAGTAGTGTTGTTTAATGTTTAATGCTAACTAGCAAGATGTTTACGTTAGTCAGCCATGTTAGCGTTTGACCAGAAATACAATTATACTCTTGGACTAAATTATTACCAACTCACAATTCCTTTCTTTCTTTATTTGCCCATGAGAAGAACTCGCTGAGCTGCTGCCGTCTATCTCTGACTCCTGCTTCCCTCAGCCAGCCTGTCTGACTCCCTGAGGGGAGGGGCTGTGTCGGAGAGAAGTCCGCGGTGTCTTTCAAAATAAAAGCTCGCGAGTCAAGTATTTCAAAATCAATCTTTTTCTTCTCCATGTTATTGGGGGGGGGGGGGGGGGGGGGGGGGGGGACAAATGCGCGTTTGTCAAATATTGGAGGGGACACGTCCCACCCGTCCCCCGGTTCCTACGCCCTTGACTGCATCGCCTACAGGTTGTGCAGAACAGTGCAGCCAGGTTCCTGACTGAGACCAGGAAACGGGACCACATCGGTTCTGGCCTCCCTGAACTGGCTTCCGGTTTGCTATTGTTCACAGTTCAAACTCCTCGTCTTTGTTTTTAATTTCTTCCAGGGTGGTGCTCCCCCCTATCTGGCCACACTCCTGAACAGACATTCCCCATCACGCGCTCTGCGCTCTTCTGACCAAGGCCTGCTCGCTGTCCCTCGTTCTAGGTGTTGTACTCGCTGGGACCGGGCTGTCTCAATCCTAGAACCGTATGGAACCAGATGCCACCCTCAGTTAGGCTGTCCCCATCTCTGCCAGTCTTCAAGAGTCGCCTAAAAACCCACCTCCTCCGCTTGGCGTTTCCTGAACATGTTTGAATTTGGCCCTCTTTTATGTTGATTTTATTTCACAGTTTTCATTGGTTCACTCTATCCATTGTTTTACACATTTGTCCTGTACTAGAATGTTTCACCTTTTTAGTAATTTGTAATCTGTAATTTGAATTGCTTTTATTTTCTGATTCATTCACTTTATTTGACTTTGTACTGTACCATGTTCAGCGCCTTGGGCTTCCTGACAGGGTTGCGGAAGGCGCTTTATAAATAAAGCTTTGATTGATTGATTGATTGATTGAAGCAGCCTGCTCGACCCGAGCGTCTCTCTTTTTCTGTGATTTTACAGAAAAACAGGCAATCACAGTAAAAATGCCAGGGCTCATTCTACAGGACCAGGGCATTGCAGGAGAATGTATGAAGAAGAAATGTATTATTTTTATACATGTTTTGGCTGTCAAACTTCCATAATACCCCTTTAAAAGACAAATGATCAACTATATAAAACACCTGGTTAAAACTTTATTAAAAGTTTTACCAAACTGAAAGTGTTTTAAAAGCACAACGAAGTTGATAAACGTCTAAAAACTAAATCCGAGTTAACCTTAAAACACGGTCGACACTAGGTGACATGCACAAAAGATCCATGTGGATCCCTCAGAGTTAAAACTATTAAAGTTAAAACTCATCAAAACGAAGTGGTTAAAACCAAAACGAGGCCTGGAGGACAGCAGAACCCCTGCACTGCTGCCTCCCAGACTTTTTCTTCTTCTTCTTCTGTTCTTTTATTGGCGGTTGGCAAACAACGAATGGTGCATTACCACCACCAACTAGTGTGGAGTGTGGTCTGGAATAGCGCTCATAAAACAAAATCAAACAGGGGGAAAAGGAATATATATATATATATATATATATATATATATATATATATATATATATATATATATATATATATATATATATATATATATATATACATACATACATACATACATATATATATATACATACATACATATATATATATATATATATACATACATACATACATACATACATACATATATATATATATATATATATATATATATATATATATATATATATATATGCCTCCCAGACTGCTGAAGGCACAGTCTTTTTATCCCAGGTGTGGGTCATCAACAGGATTCAGCCCAGCTGTGCTCCTCAGCAGGCTGGAAGAGAGGAGAGGGAGGGCTGGTGTCAGGCTTGATCGCTGGGGCTGGGTGATCTTGGCTCCTGCATCTCACTGGCCAGGCTGGTAGCCGTAACATCCAAAAACAGTGATCTTTGTCTCATCACTCCAGAGTAAAGAGTCCCAGTAGTCATCTCTTTCAGCATGAGCGCTGGCAAATCCTAGATGTGCTTTTTGGTGCATGGGCTTTCTTCATGGATGATACCCATGCATACCATTCCTCTGCAGTGTGGTGTCACGGAAAACGATCACTCCAGTTTGGCTTTCTACTGCTTTAGCTAACTGCAGTGAACTTGCATGACGATTTTCTTCAACCCATCTCATCAGAAGATGCTCCTGAGGAACATCCCTGAGAGAATCTGGTTCACCACAACCCAAAAATTCTTGACTGAAATGAGTTCTGGTGATTGTAAGGTTCACCCAGTCCTGGCCTCCAGAGCCCTCATTCATCAACCAAACAGCATCTAGTGGCAGATCGGGGGAATTCCAACACTGAAGGTCTCAGTCATCCACACATTTTCCTCTTCCACTAATTTTTTACCCAATAAGTAATTGTCTGCGGAGATGAAGCTTAATCACATAACTGATGTTAGAACGTATAAAACACACCTGTAACTGACAGGAACTTGACATTGTAGCATGGCCGATCTTGTGTTTTTGGAGAAATGGGCAGAGCATGCACTCTAGAAGGAGCTCATCTTCCTTGATAGCACGGATCTCTTTCAATTAACATCCCTGTAAAAGGAAACCACTAATCTAGCAGCTCGATTCTCCAATACACCTTTTAGATGACCATGTGATGTTTTTATAAGCTTTTTGACATGATAAAACACAAAACATAAAATTAAACTCTGAGCTTTAATAAAACTTTTTATTTTGTTTGTCAAAGTCTGGGTTTTCAGACGTAACTTAAAAAAAAGATATTCTGTTTCTACCACACAAGCATACATGTCTGCGTATTTATGTTTACATGTGGAATCCTGTCACTTTTTCTCCAGAAAAGACAAAACCACCTTGGTCTGAACAGCAGGAGTGAACAACTTAAATATCCAACATGGGACAAAATAATTGAGGGATATATACACAGGACAGGTCACAAAAACACATCACATACAAGGAGTCAGACAAAACCAAGTTTGCTGCTTTAAGTCATAAATTCAACCAGGAGTCCAGTTTTGTGTAGAGATACTTATAGATGTTGTTTCTGTTCTGCTAACCGTAGCTGAGCTTCAAAAACAAAACAAAACGAAACGTGAAGAGTGAAACTTTCAGAAGCATTAGGGAGTCCTTGTTCCTTAGCTTGAGCCAGAACTGATAACATTTGTGCACTGAGGTTCACAGAAGGCACCAAAGCGCCCATAAATGTCTTTGGCTCGAACAGCAAAGTAGTAAGTGGAGCCAGACTGGAACTGGGTCAGCGTACAAGCCATGGGTAACGGAAGGGCGTTCACCTCCCCGATCTTCTTCCAGTGCTGCTGAGCTGAACCGCTGTTAGAGTTGTCTTGATGGAAGGCATAGAGGTGGTAGCTGTCCACGGCGGCGCAGGACCGATCGGTTTCTGACACGCTCCAGGACAGCACTATGCCCGTTTGACCTGGCACCAGCTTCAGCTGAAGCTGCTGAGGGGGTGAGGTCTGCTCAGCCTCCGGGGGTAAACGCAGAGGTGCAGGTGCAGAGGGAAGAGGGGGGAGTGGGGCACTGGAGCCCCGGGGTGCTGTTGTCGTGGTTACGGTGCGGGGTTTCAGTGAAGAGTCCTATACACACAAAAATAAGAGTCAGTGAGAGTCATTTAAAACCTCAAAAGGCAAACAGAAATCATTTAATAACTCAACACAGATTACTTAATGTATTTTTTTATAATTCTGTCCTCATTTACACCACTAGAAGCTTTTATTGTGAAAATCGCATGTGCAATAACTGGTTTCATAGGCTGATCCAAAGATTCCACATCACAGAAAAAAACAAATAAAGCAAAATGTGTTATTGTAATTGTGAATCCTCACCAGAGGGGGGCGGTGGTGCACTGTCACCTGAGGGCTGCTGGTGGAGCTCAGATTGGTTTTTGGAGATGATCTCGCTCCTGTACCTGCAGACGGGAGCACAAACACACACATTACATTACCTGTTCATAACACAGTGATGTAAACATAAACAATATCACTCATGCACCTGTCTTCTTTCAATTCTGGGGCCTCATTTATTAAACACTGTGTAGTAGGGGTTGTATGAACTAGTCGACTAGTCGACTTCACGGCTCTGTAGTGACTTTTTATGCCAGTCATCGACTAGTCGCTGTCACGTGATATTGTGTAGAATCCTGACAAGATGCAGTCCTCGGAAAAGACAGCAGGTGACGAGCCCCTGCGCGTCGGGAGGCGGAGGCAACGCGCTGTGCCAGAGCGTCGGTACTGACATCGGCGGTAAAACGGACATTTAACAAACTGTGACCTTTTCCCTCTTGCAATTTTACCTTCCCCTCACCCCCATCCTAATCTTAACCAGTTTGCGCATGCAAAGCTCTGATCGTTGACGCGCTCCAGTCATCTGCGTCCTGAGCATGGCCAAATCAGGTGTCACCACCTCAAAAACAAATTAAACACGCGATCGTCCATGTCGGCTCATTTCCTTTAATGTTGTCTGTCTGTTATTTGTGCCTGATGCGTTTCGCTGCTGCGGAGCGAGGCGCATCATCTGTTTTGTTCTCCGGTGACGCACCCCCAAAATTCCACTATCTCCGCTCCGCTCCGGCATGAACTCCGCAGCAAAAACGGTCCCGTTGTAGTCAGCCGGCGAGCAGCGGCACTCCGCTGTTTTTGCGGTCGGTAGATCTTTTAGAACTGCAGTTCAAAGGTAACTTATAAGGTGAATATATATGAAGCCAGGTAGCAGTTTTTCTTTAGGATTGAGAGGAGATGCAGGAAGATAATAAACAGGCAGGACAGAAAAATAGTCAAATAAAAACAAGTTAGTTTTTGTACCTGGTGGTTGCAACAAACAGACACCATTGAAGGTAATCAGAAGTGAGGAACAGAAAATGAAATAATTATTTTAATGTTTAGAGCAGCAGGAACTCTGAGAGGCTGCAGGCGCATCAGTGAGTTTGCGGCCACTGTGCAGGGGGGGGGGGGGGGGGGGCTGAAGCAGAAACTACCGTTGTTAAAAGAAATGTGTTTAACTTTGAAAATGTGGGTGCAATTTTAATTGTCAAAAACTCCAGCGAACCTACCGACCCCCCGGTGTATGACATCATCAACGACTAGTCGAAGTCGACTCGATTTTCATTACTTGACTGTCGACTTTAAAAAAAATTAAGTCATCCCTAAGTGAACATTTGAGACGAAAACATGTGGGAGCTGATGCAGCAGAGGAAGAGCCAGCCCGGTAAGTAACAGAAAATAAACAAGCTAATTATATTGGTCCATCACTACACGCCGATCAAATTTGGGACTTAGTGTTTTAGCTGAGTTCGTTATAGTGAATGTTAAACATGTTTTTTTTTTTTGCAGAGTCAGTCTACGGTGTTCTACTCCTGATTGACTAAATGCAATCGTGAATCTCCGTGTTGTGAATCATGCGCTTGCCAAATTTAGCACGTCTGTTCATAAGAATGTTCTCGTTAAGAGAAAAACGGCACAAACCCATAACTATGTTCCTCATTCAAAAAAGGACAACTCTGCGGAGAAAAATGTACAGACGAGCTGTGTCCAGGTGAATATAACGCGGCATAGTTGTACGCTTTCAATTTTTAAATACAGGAGAAATTCAGAAAAAGTCATTTTTTTTACTATTAAAAGGCTGTTTTACTATCTAACACTGTAAAACGCCTCACAACGCATTTTTATCAAAATAAATGATCACTGTATATTGTTAATTAATTCAAATAATACTAATAATAATACTATTGATTTAGTGTTGTAGTGTGTGTGCTGCTTTATTTTATATGTGTACTTATGTCAGTCAATTTGTGTTTCTCATGCAGAAAAAAACAAGCAACGATGGACAACTACATGGGGAACAAGACACTCACCCCCAGCAATGCATACCACTTACAAACTATTCTAGATTCTATATTATTTTTTTATTAAATTTACCTCTTATATTTTGATGCCAAAAAATTATTCTGGACTGATATTTTGCACTGTTTAGCTCATTTTACACCGCTGACTGTGTTCATGTGCAATAAAATAGATTGCAGTCAACTGCACAATTCTCCTGTTTTTCTTTTTCTTAACTGAAATGTATTCATCACTTGTATAGGTTAAATAGCTAAACAATAACAAACCGATTAATCTAAAAAATAATCGACAGATTAATCGATTATGAAAATAATCGTTAGTTGCAGCCCTACATGCAACCCCTATTGTGTAGAATCCTTACTAAAACCCTACTTACGTTTCAGAACCTGTTTTGTGCATAAGCAAGCTTTACAAGTGAGGCTCCTGGTGTTTTCTGCAGCAGGACATAATAAAAATGGTCTGATCTTTATCAAGTTCTAATATGATCCATATCTAACATTAAGTGATTCAACCATGTCATTAGTAAATAAACAAAAATGGACTAAAAAAAGTCTGAATTCACTACTTTTACTGATCAGTTATACAGATGGACTGATCATCACCAGCATAAACTCTTTCATGAAAAGCTTGAGTCGTTGCCAGCTCGCTGGTCTGGAGCATACTGGTGTGTGTAAACACCAGGAGGAAAGACACTAGGAACAACCTTGTGGCCCTTTGCCACTACTCGGCGTGGCTGGGTTACACATTTCGGGTGGTTTTCTATTGTGTGGGTTTGCCGTAGCGGCGCAGAGCCCAGAATCAGAAAGTGTAGTGATATGATCTTTATGCAACACTAGGGCTCGATGATTGATATATATATATATATATATATATATATATATATATATATATATATATATATATATATATATATATATATATATATATATATCAGTAATCAATGATAACTATATAAAATGTAGAAAATATATTTAAGTTAATATTAAGTAAATATATTTAAGTTTAGCCCTGGCCATTTTGTGTCATTACTTCACGATAAGGCAAGTAAATTGTCGCCAGATTTGATTTTTATGGATTTTTTTTTTACAAATTTAGCAAACAAGTTTTTCATTTTCAGACAAAAATATTGCCATGCTGGTGAATTACTGTAACCTTATTTCAGGACAGTTCCCTACGCCTCTTGTTGCTGCAACATCTTGGTTAAGTCAAGCGCTGTCAAGGTTTGGTGACAGAGCATGATCAGTGTTTTTGGTAGGTTGGGAGTCAGTAATGACTCTAGTATTAAAGTTACAACAGCAAACGTAGAAAACAAATGAGCGTAAAACAAATTTTATTCTTTTTTTTAATCGCACCACACGTCTATCGATAGGTAAAAATCGTTATTGAATTATTGTCCTGCCCTATGCTACACAAAAACACAACACAACAATGGAGGACAAGATGGTAGTGATGTAAAACACTGCTTACTCTGTGGCTTTTAGTCAGACTCTAAAAAAGAAAAAACAGACCTAGTTGCTGCCAATCAGTCTTTGAAGAGTTAAGCCGGACATACACTGTGCAACTTTTTCGAGCCGATTTTCTACAAGACCGGTTAAGGACGTTGAATCGTTCCAGGAGTCACTGTGCTCCCTAAACCCAACGACCTCCTTTCCCTGTCTAAACGGAGGTGACTAGCGCCACTTATCATGGCTGCATGCACGGATGTGTGGAGAGTCCCCAACCCTACCTCCCCACCTAGTGGATACTTATGTTGTGTAATGTCTGAAGTCTGTTGCATTTCTGTCTGAGGTGTTTTTTGCATAGCAAAGCTGCCCTCCCTGTGGAGGGTAACTCTGAAGTGCCTTTTTTCCTTCCGGCTCTTGGAGAGTACAGACGCTTTTTTCCTCCTCTCCTCCCAATCTTATCCCAAGGCTCTTGTCTGTCTTTGGGTGTACGGCGCTTCTGCATTTTTTCTGGAAACTGGAAATTATTGAAAATGGACCAGGTCAGTTGGTCTCTCAACGCGATTGACAAAAAATTTTTAACGATGAGAACGGGAGGGGGCTCCCGGATGCCCCTCTGGGACAGAGCCAGCTGGGCATATCATGGACTCCTGGAAACAGTGGAACCTGATCTGCCTCTCCCAACTGTCTGTAGAGGATTCTGAAGATGTCTGGATATTCATGGTGTTGGTGTCAGGTTTCCTGCTTTTTGGTCTGAGTGGTTACCTGGCTTACCGGAAAATTAATGAGCTGTCGAGAAATATTGGTTCAATCCCAGAGCTCAGGGATGGATTACACCTCGCTGTGAACGCACAAACTCATCTAATTGTCGAGATGAGTCATAAGCTTCGAACTTTGGCTGAGATTCAAACTCTGGCACAGAAGGTGGATTCGATCAAGGAGCGAGTTGACGGGACAGCAGCACGGATTGGGATAGATTAATTTACGCCGTTATGGGATTCAGAGGGGTTGAGGACCAACGGAACTTTAAGACAGAGAGGAAATTACCTCTGTCTGGCCCCCAAACAAGTTCTTATCTGAATCTGGTGCCCTTGAGCCTGAAGTGAATACTCCTTCTCAGAAGAAATGTGGAATGCTGCCATCGCCATGGAAACTCTGTCTCCCTATCCCAGCCTGGGCTGGTGATGGTGCGACCGGTGAAGGCCGTTGAATCGTTCCAGGAGTCACTGTGCTCCCTAAACCCAACGACCTCCTTCCCCTGTCCAAACGGAGGTGACGAGCGCTGCTTATCGCGGCTGCATGCACTGATGTTTGGAGAGTCCCTAACCCTACCTCCCCACCTAGTGGACACTTATGTTGTGTAATGTCTGAAGTCTGTTGCATTTCTGTCTGAGGTGTTTTTTGCAGAGCAAAGCTGCCCTCCCTGTGGAGGGTAACTCTGAAGTGCCTTTTTTTCTCCACCTGACTATCCTCATATAAACCCTCTGACCTCCATTAAGGTAGTGCGACTCGGGTTGTGAATGACCACAGTCACCAATTCTTGTCATGTGTCTATGCCTATGTATGTATGTCTGATCTTAGAATTGTGTGTACTGAAACTAACTTCCCTCTAGGATTAATAAAGTATCTTTGAATTGAATTGAATTGAATTTGAATCAGGGCGAGTTCTGCGCCAAGTGTTGTGTAGTATACAGGACATTACGAGAGATGATTAACAGCACATGACCAGCTACTAGCGTTGGGCATCGTTTGATTTTAATTCCTCGTTTCGATTCCGGTTCCCATCGATTCCCGATTCCGATTCTTTTAAGACATGACATGTTTTACATAAGCTAGCTAACCACAGGTCCTACTTGATGAAATAATCTTAACTTCAACATGAAGTTTAATTCTACGAACAACAACATCACCTTCATTTAGACAAAAACATGTTTTAAGAAAAAGACTTGCAGCACAACCAGTGTGTTCATTTCTGACCACAACCAAAGTCTGGAAGAAGCCTCTGGGATGAGAGGCTAAGTAGTAGAGTAGAGGTGTAGAGGAAAAGAGCAGAGAAAAGGCAGAGAGGAAATGGAGGACACCAAATGGTTAATAGAAAAACTACGAGGCGCGCCTCGACCGGAGCGGAGAAACAAGCGTCTGGTCTGAACTGAGGAGCAGCGAGCAGCGGCCGAATTTCGTAAGCGCTTCGGCGGCCGGTGTCCCCGGCGTTAGGCTCCTTATTAAACTTCTGAAACAATGATGTCCTTTGGGCAAATGAGAACAAAGTAGTGATGTTTACCCAGATAGCTCAGGTTCTTATTGAGTGAAAACCAAACAGCATATCAACACAAACAGCTCATAACAACTGTCAGCACGGCAGTAGAAGGCAGATGGTTAGGGCTCCGTGCAAACCTGCAGTGGTGGGACCTCAAGAGAGCTGAGCAAAGGCAAATGTCCACAAAGCTTAATGAACGGAAGACTTGACCAAAGTTCCCCCACTATGATGTGACAAACTGATGACATCATGCAGTAATCAACCGCATCAGGATAAATCTGCTAAAGATTGTTCTACAAGTTGCTGGATCACAAGGACGTTTTCTACTTTGGCTTCATTTTTGTCTCATAACGGGCTCGACACACAGGAGGCAACAAACGACCGCGATCAGCTAAATTTGTCGCCGTCGTTTTAATTACCTGACACACGGGAGACGATCCGCGGCAAAGCCGTCTAGGCGTTCTGTTCCATGGCGAAATCGAAACTTCCGTTGTTTTGTTTGGCTGTGTCAGGGTGGAGGGAATTAAGGTTATTTAAGCGGTTCAGAGTTAATAAAGCGGTAGATATGATGTTTCACAAGGTGCTGCTAGAGTTATGTGAAATCTTACTTCTGATTTTACTATAAAACATAATAATAACAAACTTCCCCTTCATGTTTGCTCGGAGGTGTACGGAGCATCCTGTCCGCTCATTGGTCAGTGAATGAAACCTCCGTTGATTGGTCCTCGTCCGAGCGACAAAAAAAATGTTTCAACTTTCTGGGATCGCGTTGCTGGGTCGCCTGTGCATGACACGTGCACGAGCGCAAAATTTCACACGCACGTTTTTCGCGTTTTGCTTGGTAGGAGGGAGACCCACGATTATCGCTTTGTCGCGCATGTCTCGTTGAAAATGAATGGAGGAGAGGCGGTGTCGCCTCCCGTGTGTCGAGCCCATAAATGCTGGGATGTGTTGTGAATTTTGGTTCGCTTGAGATCAGATCGGATAGTTTTAGAACGTGGAAAAGACCAGAGCCTGATACATAAATCCCCAGAACTGAAAGAGGGAAAGCGTTTTTAACACATCTGTATACGATCAGTGTGGTTTGATGCTCTTACTGTCAGGAATCCTGATGACTGGATTAGGGCGGGGGGCGGATGAGGGTGTAGTGACTGTGGCATTCTTCACTCCAGTAACTGAAAACCATAAATTATATCATAATTACCCAAAGAATAATTGAAGAATATAAACATGTTTAAGATCTGAGGGTTTCAACAACACCTGAACCTCAGTCCTACCTTGTACATCATCATCATCCTCCGTGAGATCGATGACGGAGCCTTTGGGTCGTGCAGCTGTTGCTGCTACTGGTGTTGCTGCTACTGGCGTTGCTGCTGAAGGTGCTGCTGCTGCTGGTGGTGGTGGTGGTGGTGGGGGGGGTGGTACAACAGCAGGTTTGGGTGGAATGGTCACAGCAACTTGATTGTCTGATTAGAGTCAAAATAATATAACTGAATAAAGATGTGCTTATAAAAACAAAAAGCAACAACGTCTCAACAGTCTTAGGTCTTCCTCACCTGTCTTGGATGTTAGAGATGTTCCTTGTGGCGTTCCTGGAGCTGTGGAGCCTGTTGCTGCTGGCCCAGAAGTTGCAGGTGAAGCGGCTGAAGACAAAGCGCCAGCAACAGAGACAGACTGAGCGGGTGCCCTCACTGTGGTCACAGATACCCCGGCATTTGGTGTAGTTATTCTGCTGGCACCACCTTGGTACACCGTTCGAGCCACAGAGAACTGAGTGGTAGACAGCTGACCGGTGGAAGCCTGAAGGGTAGGAAGTGTGCCAAGAGTCGAGGTGGAAGCTGATACTGCGTTGGTTGAAGGAGGAGATTTGAGGATAAAGGTGGTGGTGGATGGAGTGGTTTTGGACTTGTTCAGTGAACTGGCTGCAGACAAAGAGGAGACGGGGAAGTTGACCAGCGTGCCCGTCTGACCGTTGACCGACAGGGGCAGCTGGATGACGAGCGGCTGGCCTGCAGTCACCATGCCGCTACCAGGAGTAGTTTTCAACACCAGGGTGCCTGGCTGACTCTGTGTGGTGATCCCGGTGGCCAGTGTGGAGGCAGCATTAGCATTGGAGGTGATGAGCTGGAGGATGGACCCCTGTGGAACCATGGTAGTGGAGGTGGGAGTAGGAAGTGAAACTGCAGCAGGAGCTGCAGCTGCAACAGAGGCTGGAATAGATACTGGCACTGAAACTGGGACTGAAACAACTTGTGGGAGACAAAAAGGAGAAAAAAAATCTTAAATCAGAGATGAGTAACTCTCAAAAAGGTTTATCCAATAAATGTAATTAAATACAATCTCACCAGTGGTGCTGCTAATAATGTTTGTGGTCATTTAAATGTCGAAATTTAAGTAATTTATTGCTGTCTTCAAAAACATCCTCGTACCATAAAAATAGCTTTAAAATTTGGACAGGAAGCAAAGTTCACTTGGAAAAGCACTACTAATTTATTTTAAGCAGGCTATATCGTCAACTCTTGCATCAAAGATGGATCATGCCCAAATAACAGACCTACACAATGATCAGCGGACAGAAACCTGCTACTCACCAGCTGCGCTGGAAGAAGGAACAGTTGCTGGAATCTGCTTAACCTCAATGGAAGTCCGGACTTGCCTGTTCAGAAAGATTCCTAAGCTTAGAGTTGTTTACATAAGATGCCATTTTTTGTCCGTGACGATGGTCGTTTTTATTTTATTCCATTTCACAAAGTCATCTTTGTTTACCTTGCAAGCAGATTCCAACTAAAAAATGTAATGGCATGTCCAAGTTTACATAAAAGCATCAGTTTGTTTTTTAAATGTTCATCATTTTTAAGTGCGGTGCCAAGTCACCATGGGTCCCATTTAACATGTTAATCCGTTCTATGGTTGAAGTTTGAGGTTTAAACTATATATATTACAGTGGATGACAGTTGTCCCAGAATGCTTCTGTCCTGTGTGGCATTAAAAGTGTCAAAACGACAAAACAATCCTTTCGTCGTATTCTCGGAAAAACTCCGATTTCCTCTTTACTCTGAGTATTTCATTGATCACATCTCGGATCTCTCTCCACTTCTCAATTGGCAGTAGAGGGAAGCGGCGCTCAATGTACATCCTTATTGTCCTCCTCAGGTTCATGGGCAGTGCCTCCTTGCCCAATAATCCAACATAATTGACCTTTGCAACCCACTCGCAGTAGATTTCATACGGGACTAAGTAGCGGAATAGATAAGAGGCATAGCGGTCCGGCCTGGGAGTGTCTGAGCCACGCTTGCAGTTGTGGTAGAGCACGCTCTCCAATCGGGAAGAGATGGGGCGGAGTTTAACATCAGCTCTGCACCTTCCTTCACTGTATTCTGCCAGCTTTCTTGCCATGGCAATATTGCGGGACACATCAGTCTCCTTCTCCTCCCCCATTTCCTCCACCTCCTCCTCCTCCTCATCGTCCTCCTCCTCCTCCTCCTCTTCTTCCTCCTCCTTTTCGACAGACCAAGTGGGAGTCTTGCCAAGAGGGGGCGCCACTACCCCTCTGGCCACTTCAGGCTTCGGAGCTACAGTCTGCCCACGGAGGACGCTGTTGGGAGGAGAGGTGCAGTTTTAACTACACTCTGCACTGCCTGAAGAAGCTCTCAGACTTTACATTGTAGAACGTCACAAGACTCAGGACCTGGACCCATTTGGGGTTACTTTGCAGGTACTACAGACTGGGGCATGTGTTTCATTACTCCAAACAAGAGAGTGCGAATGTTGGAAAATTAAGAGTCTAAGAGGTGACAAACCAAACAAGGGGCATGAAAGAATGGTTAGGATTGGAGGATTCTTTAACCTGTCCATTAGTTTTAGTTTCAGAGAGCAATCTGGGACAAGGTCGTCTCTTGGCACCGTGAACGCTCGTGTGTAGGATTGGTGTCAGTCCGGTATTGTCACGTTCATACAAAAGCCAAGATATATTCACACACAGACTGCTGCATGAATCAAATATTACATGTAAAACTACAATGTGGATTTGGACATTTTAATGTCTGACACAGTAAAATCCAAACAAGTGAGCTTGCATTGAGGTAATAAGAGCTGCCCAAGGCTGGGACACACTTACCGCTGAGCTTGGGGGGTGTTAGTAGCAGTCGGAGGCTTGACAGCAGCAGCGGCGGCGGCGGCGGCAGCAGCGGCGGCGGTAGTGGCAGCAGCCAGAGCCTGTGGACACCAAACAGCAAGCTTTTAGATGCTAATCTCACCCGCAGGTCAGGTGGGTTAAAGCAAGAGAAACCACATCTTACCTCCTGTTTCTTTTTGTTTTCAGAAGCTTGATTAGCTTCTCCAAACTTTTTCACTAGTCGGGAGATCTTGGACTGAGCGAATCAGAAAATGGAAACTGGTTTTAGTCTAGTGTTGTCTAAATGGGTCCAAATGTAACAGCTTCCCCCAAGACTCACCTGGAGTGTGTTGATGGCGGTCTGATGTTTAGTAGCACATTCGACTTTATCCACCCTGTCCTTCAGCTCTTTGAAATGTTTGTCAAAAATCGCCAACTCCAAGATCTGCAGCTGTTCGTTCACCAGTTGTTGAACAATCTAAGAAGAAAAAAAAGGGAGAAGCAGGAAGATTTGTCAGCCTTTCAGGTTGCCCTGGACTTCTTGTGAGTCAAAGACTGGCCAGATGATCAAGGCCAACCTTTTCGAGCTTATGCTGACTGCCAGCTTTTGCAGTGATTTTAAGTTTCAGATGGGCCTCCAGTTCCTCGTGTTCCATCTTGGGCCTCTTCCCCTCCATTTTCACGGTCACATCGTCTTTTTCATCTCCCTCTGACAGAGTGCGCTTTAGTCCCGAGGTTGAGCTCTTTCCCTCTTTATCTGTTGGTGGAAAAAAAAAAAAGATTAGTCTGTCTTGGATTATAAATTTATAACTGGACTTTCTTACAGCTTTTTAAAAATAATTTAATAAAAAAGGTTTTACACCCACTCTAACTATACAGCCCAGGACACTTTAATTTCTTCTTTATGTTGGATTACTGTATGCTGACATAATCTGGCCTCCGCATCATACCTGGGTTAGAAGGTGGAGTGGAGGATGGTCGAGCTGGTTTTGTACATTTTTCATCTTCCTTAGTTTCCTTCCTGAACTCAGATTGTATTTTGTCCACCTCCATCTTCTCCTCAGACTTGGATTCCGTATTCTTGTTGGGTTTTTCATCTTCTTCTTCTTCAACATCGTCTTCTTTAATTTCTATTGTTTCATTTATATCTTTCCCAGAACCTGGAGGAAGTGTAGAAGTGGAAGTTGTAACACTGGAGCACGAAGAATTTTCGTCTTTCCTTGTGGAAGTGGAGGCCTCAGAGTCATCGGCGTTTGTAGTGTTAGTTTCGGTCTCCATTGGCTTGATGCACTTGGATGTTGAAGGTGGAGCAGGGGAAGTGGAAACAGCTTCTTTTGAAGAGTCCGTTCCTGAATCCCCAGCTGGATCCTCCGTATTGGTCTGTTTCTTCTGATGAAAAACAAAATAATAATAATTCAACCTGTTTAGATTTTTTTTTTTAGAATAACACTTATTATGCATGTTTCCTACACACTTCTAAGCATTTACCTCCTCCTTTTCCCCTGTGGAGATCCCATTTTTCTGTTGGTCCTTACATTCACTTGGAACGGGTGTAACAGAATCATCTGGGTAGGATGATGAAGAACTTTTCTTTTCCTTGTCCTCTGTCTTTTTTGCATCAGGAAAGTCAGGACTGAGGGGTGAATTTGGACAAGAGGCTTCGTCCTGTGGTTTGGGACTTTCTGACGAGGCAGGGGAAGGTGATAAATTCAGGGACAGGAACGGAGTTGGGGAGCTTAGCGATGTTGGAGAGGCAGGTGATGTTGCTGCGGGGGAGTTCGAGTCAGAAATGTTGTTTTGCTCTTTATCACTTGTTTTTTGTCCATCCTCCTTATGAGTGCCATTCATTAGTGGTGGTGGAGATGGGTTGGACGAGCCAGGTGTGGTCAGTAAAGTGCTGTGAAGGCTTTCCAGTTGCAGGCGGTCACTCATCTTCATGGTTTTCCTTGCACGGAAAATCTTCTTTTTCTCCTCTGGTACCACAACTTCCATTGCTCCCTGTTGGAAGACGAGGACAGACAAGATGCATAAGAACAAATGAGTGCAGTCAAGATCTAGAGCTCCAAAAATAACCAGCAGTGCGTTACGCTCACGAGTCTGTCCTTGCTGTGCGCTCTACCAATTAAGTAATGACTGCAGCGCCTCATATGAAACACTAGAGGTCACTGTAGAGCTCCTCTGCTGCCTTGCTTGTCCTTTTCTAGAAGGTTCTGTTACAGATGCAAACATACCAACTGGTCGCTCCCTAAAAAAATCCTGGTTTTGGGCAGCACTTTCCTCAGTGCTCAAGCTAAACTAGTCAGATTGTTACTGTCTGGCTTCCCATTGTTGTTGCTGCTCTAGAGGGACATCACTCAAGAGGAGAACCTCAGTGAGACAGAAATGGTTTCATGAGGTCAGAAAAGTCTAAAAGGCTATTCCAGTCCCCCAAATTTTTGTTTCTGACTCATGGATTTCCCGTTTACCTAAGCCCGGATCCAGAGAGCAGAAGAAAGGACACGAGTTAACAACAGCAGTAACCCAACCTCCCTCCCATCCCCCCATTCAGTGATTGGCTGAATCCTCAGCAAATCAGATCAAACCAACTGGGGCAGAGCTTAGAGCTGCAAAGAGGTTATGCAAAAACATGAGAGGACTTTCTGTGCAAGCTCTAATTGTTGCTTACATGGTAGAGTTAAGGCTAGTTGTAACATTTTTATACATTTTCAATTAACCACTCATCATTTTAGAAATACGCCTGCATGAGATGATCAGAATTTTTATTTTTAGGAGTCATGAATAAAAATATCCATTAAAGATGTGTAGCAGGGGACTGGTTGCAGAAAAAATATTCACTGAGTAGCAACAAAAGTGGCAGAATAGCAACAACGAGCAGTGCGTAAAACATTTAACTGTGACCCACCTTCAAGCCCGAAGCTCTTTGGTCATAGATTTAACAAAGGACGTCGGCAACCTAGAAAAACAAACAACAATATTTAGTTAATAATATTTAGATCACGCTACGCTGAATTTAGCTCCATCTCATTAATCAAACATCCATTAGAAATTCACACAAATCATTTTAATGAGCCGTATTTTGTTCATGTATGCAGAAACATCCTGACTCAGATAAACGTATGAAGCCAATCGTCATTTAATCACACTCTGAATGCAGATTGGCTTCAGTTTAACTAAAAATTTGGTTAGCTTTATTTCCAGTCATGCTGTCCTGTAAACCAGCAGCAGGCAGAGACACGTGATCCCGCTTCAGCTACACAATGTTGGACTGAACTGCCTCTTAGTGGAAAAATACAAAATACTAAGTGGAAAAATACAAAGAGTGATCTGGACTCAGTTTATGCCTCACACTGTAAAGCACCAAACCAAAATACTGAGGCTCTGAACCAGTCCTGAATTTGTTCTCATCAACCAGCATAACTCCTGCAAAAATAGGAGATCCATTTGATTAAGTGTTGCCAAAAAGACCATAAACAAACAAAAAAAGCATAATAAAACGTCACCATAAGAAAGTAAAGCTGTGTAAATAGCCAGCACGCTGACTGCTCCACTTCACATTCCTGTGTTATTGCATACTGCGCAGAGCAGAATGTCCCCTCCCCCATCCCACAGCCTCAATCACCGTGCCTGGATTTGGTGCAAAACCTCAAAATGGCGATCAGCTCTGCTGTTCGTAGTCAGGCTGAGACCTCTGTAGCTAGCTGTGAGGGACTGTCAGATCAGGTTTCAGCACAGCTCCGTACAATATGACTTTTCTGTTAAGGCTGAAGAATCAGCAACATGAAAAAGTATAAGCACACAAACCCTTCTGAGCAGTATTTACCCACACCATCAGCTCTCAATAATGCTAGGTCATAAAAGCTATTGCTAAGAAGAACATGTTTCAACATAATAAATAAATTAATCGAATCATGTCACAATCCTATGCAGCCACCGTAGTATGTGTGTGTGTGTGTGAACTCAATGTACACATACACCACTATGTATGTAAAAACAACTGCTTCTAATATCTGCTTCTGTATCCATTTGTTGTAAGAGTGCCTTTAAAATATCAGTGATTGTGGTAGATTTATCGGCTGGTTGAGTACGATCACAGAAAGACTTTTAGAGATGATTTACCTCAAGACCAAAAAACACAAAAATGCCAATCAAATTTACTTAAATCCATGAAAAGGGCTGATGTTTCTGAAGTAAAATACTTCTCGTTTACTTATTTTGCTTACACTACGCTAGTTTGCTGACAACAGACGTGTCGCCTTTGTTAATTCAAACAGATCACTTGTGTCCTGGAAAATGTCCCATTCACTGGAATAAACAGATGTGAGACAGACAGTTGATCTTTAGTAAGATCAACTGAATTACGCTCGAGAAACAGTCTAAAGTAAAAACAGACATGTAAAGGCGACATGAGGAGACAATGAGATTTGGAGGTCTTCCCTCTGGACTTGAGACTTAGAGTCAAAATCAATGAAATCATACTTGACAGAAGGATCAAATACTTAAGGATTTATTTTTTTGTCCTTATTGGAAGTCTTCATTCCTAAATCTCCAGAATTCTGCTCAGTATTCCGTAAACACCATTTAGCTCCTTTGCCAACCGTGGAGCATGAAGGAGAGGCTGGGCAGCAGCTACTGAATCTGTGTCTACGACTCAAAGCCTGTTAGGATGATGTCAGCAGCGGGCATAAATTAGGATAGTAGTAGTACAGTCTCCTTTATGGTACAATTATACATAATTAGAACTAATCTATATTACTTCAACCAGATGTCTAACTGATCTAATCAATGAGGCAAATTCAGTAACACAGATGTTGCATTGCATCACTTTAAGTCGGTCTTAAGCCTAATTTATACTTCATCAGCTCCACGAGGGAGAGACGCACGCATGGACAGACGTTTGCTCTCTGACAGCTCCGTATCCAGGGAGTGTTGCTAAGCAATTCCCTGCCAGGACAACAGAATACGCAGCACAGTTCTGGGGTATCATGTTATGTGTCCGGTCCAAGTTAGTGCATTTACTATTGTGTTTTTTTGTATTTAAGAGACTTTTTAAACACAAATTTGTCCCTCATTCCTCTTCACCTCTTCATGCACTTACCACCTCTAAACCCACATTTCCCATAATTTCCGTCTACAAATAAAACGTTTGCTGCATAACTTTTCACTCCTCCAGTCATGTGTTAATAAAACATTCATATTTCTAGAGTTTCCTGCAAGGTATTCTTTAAGCTGCTCCGTGTCTTTCACTAGATATTTTCGGCTCTCTATTTTTTTGAGAGCGCAATGGCGGTACTGTAGACAAAAGTGGCATCCTGATTAATCACAAGCTTGCATTCTCCATCTTGTTGGATGGACGTTTAGAAAAGTGGGTTCGACTCCGTTCATCTTTGCGAGCCTGCTGGAGAGCCCACACACGGATGGATAATGGCGTTCAGTGTCTCTGTCCTGACGCAGACAGAGAAGCTAAACTAGGCTTTAGACAGAGCTGCATATTTTATGTTTTGGTATTATTCTTATTTCATACTCTTGTATGTTGCAAGATCTGTTTAATAGATGACACCCTTCTTGCATGTCTGTGCATACTGTGGTGATGTTTGGACCAATCCAAAGCCATTCATATCCAGGGGTGGACCTTTAAAACGCCCAAGCACCAATGGCGCTAAATTTTCTCGTCAGGCAGTAAATAATTGACGACTTGATCTGTTTAACGATGTGTTTTTGTCCATTTCATTATCTGATGGAGAAAAAATGAACCAGAAAAGATGCACTGTAAGTCATCTTTGATTTTAAAAAATTGTTTTTTTTTTTCTGTTTAAAGCTTGGTTTATGCTTGACGCGTCCGCAAGGTTCCCACGGCTTCGCGCTGCAAAATTGCGTCATTTTAACAACCACGCCCCACCACGCGCCTCCGCACGGCCCAAACTTTCCGCACCACGCACCTAGGAAATTTTCTAACCACGCGGACGGTCGGACACAGAAAAACATGGCGGACTGGCAAGAACTAGTATGGTAGAGGTTCGTAAATACAGACATTTGTATGACGCCGGGGACACACCGGCCGCGGAAGCGCCGCGAAAATGGGACCGCCTTTATTCGGCACCCTTGTTAAGCTAGTCTATAGACCACATGGCCCGCCAAAGTGCCGCGAATCGCCTCGCGCCGGTGCTCCAGCCCGCGCCGTGCAACGATCATTTCGGCGTTGGCTCTATTTTCTCGCGAGTCGCGGGTGAATTGCGTCAATTCTGGCAGGAAGTCAAACCTAGACATAAGAGGCAGGCCGGTAAATTTAACAAAATAAAGCATTTCAAAATAAAATTCCGCAATAGTCAAATGTGTTCGTAATCAGACACTGCAGAAAAACCACACGAACACACACACACATACACATCGAACTTGTGTGCGTGTGTGACCACGTGAAGGGGGTGTGGTTTTGGGTGTCTTTTCACCAGAGCAAACAGGACAGAGAGGTAGAAAGTCTGAGGCAAGCAGTTAAGATGGATGACTTTAAATTAATTATGGAAGTTGAGAAAAAAAAGGAGCTGTACGACCCCCGAAAAACATGGTTATTTACGTACCCATTTCAGAAGAAACTGCTAGCATACAGCTGCAGAACTGGAGCGGGTTCCAAGAGATTCAACTGGCAGAAACAACTGGTTCATACCATAGGTTCACACACACACACACGTACAAACACTCAAACGTAGAGAAAAAGAGCTGAGAAAAGGCAGAGAGGAAATGGAGGACACCAAGCGTTTAAAAGAAAAACTACAGCTGAGCCAAGGCGCGCCTCGACTGGGGCGCGTCTGATCTGAACTGAGGAGCGGCGAGCAGCGGCCGAATTTCGTGAGCGATTCGCTTCTCGATGCTTCGCGGCCGGTGTGTCCCCGGCGTGATTCAGCTCTCAAAGATCACTGTGATCAACATGTCGTTAATAATTCATGGAGAGAAATAGCTTGCACTGTCGGAAAAGATGAGCACGCTGTTAAAAATGCTGGAATGCCATGTTGTAAACAACAGTAATTTTTACTTCTACTATGGTGTAGTGTTGGATGCATGTTGTAGAGTCCATGCTGCCCCGTTCAGTTTGGGAGAATATTGGCTCACCGCAGAGACAAGCCGCATGATCCATAAACGCTGCAAGTTGTGAAGCGCGTTCCATCCATGAGCCGCATCACCAAGCGGAAAGTAAATCCGTCAAGCATAAACCAAGCCTAACTGCCATCAGCTTGTGGACCTGCTGCTGACCCTGCCTGTATCTATAGCTAAATGTGAAAGAGGTTTCAACCACATGAAAATAATAAAGAGTGACTGGCGGTCTAGCCTGTCAGGGAAGAGTGTGGGCGAGCTCATGTCGGTGCTGTTACTGTTGGCAGACAATAAAAACTTCCACCCGAAGCCAGCCATAAACATATGGTTTCTTGATGTCCAACGCCGAAGGTGTCTTGATTTCATGGATGGAAAGACTTCCACTGCTGCTGAGATGAACGACGCAGAGCGAGAGGAAGATTTCATGTGTGTGGGTCAGGGCCGCTTGCTCTCCATGATGAGCAAGAAATATGAGGACGAGCTTGACGGGAACTTTGAGGTGGAGTAACATACTAGTCCACCACTAGCCAAATTATTCAGCCTGCATCACAATGGTGCCAGAGACTGACACAGTGCTGATTGTAAATATGCAAATATATACAGAAAAGCTTATTACATTTGTGAATGTGTACAAAATAAGGGTTTATTACATTTTAAACGATTCAGTTGTTATTTTGACTCGTTTTGGCAGCTGACCTGTGGGGCCGATAAGATTCTTGGCGGGGCCGGTAAATTTTCAGAGTTACCGGCCCAGCTGGCTGGTTGGTTTTGAAGTTAATGTCCACCCCTGATATCCTTCAAAACATGGAGCAGAACTGTGGTTTCTAAGATTTCTACCATTAGGATTAAGGTTCTTTGCAGTTTAGACATGTTTTAATTCCTACTATTCAGTAACCAACCAAACACCAAGGAACAAAATGTTAGCCCCACATTGTCTTTAGTACAAAGCACAACAAAAATATTAGTCAAGAAAAATAAATGTCCAGTTAATTTCTATTATTTTGTGTGGTGTGACTTACACCAGAAGGTACAACCAGCTTGACCACTGCAACTTCAATACTTAAAATTCAGTACGTTTACATGCAGCCAATATCCGGGTTATGATCGGGTTAAGGTCGGTATTCGGGTTTCTGAGTTGATCAGATTAACCCGTTTACAAGCATAAATAGAAAGAGTTACCTCTAACTTGCATAACCCAATTTAAATGCGGACGTTGGGGTAGCGTCAGGACGCATGGACTATGTCCAGACGCAATATGCGTCATTTCCGGTTCTTCTTGTTCCAGTATCCGTAAAAACATGTTTCCCAGTTCGGAAGAGATAGCGACCGCGTTTCTTTGCGCTTTAGTTTCTTCGTCACTCCAAAAGTGTGGTGCTGTGCCGCGACTCACCATTTTACCCCCAACTTGTTGTTTACTTCCGGTGTTCTGGCGCATACAAGACGTCTCGCTACTCAAAAGACCAAGATTCCTTGCGAACAGAGCATGCGCAGAACACACGCTTTGATGGGGATATCCCGATATGCGTTTACACGACCAAACATTCGGGTTAGAAAAGGGTTACCCCAGGTGTAGTAACCGGGTTTTTAAACACCTGGTTATGAGCATATCCGGGTTTTTGGCGGTGTTTACAAGGACCTGCGGAACTGGGTTATTGTGAATATTCGGGTTTTAAAAGGGTTACTGGCTGCATGTAAACGCACTGATTGAAACTCCAAAGGACAGTATCCGGGCATCATATGCAAAATAACATGTTTTCTAGGTAACTTGGATACTGATGACAAAATCCAACTAAAGGCAGGGTTTCCCCCAGCGCTTGGCCACCCGCCAGGCTAAAGTCTGAGTCATGCTTCTGCGCCTGCATCAGTGAGGAGACACGCAACGCCATTATCTGTCCTTGCGGGCCTGCTGGAGAGCCCCCGCAAGGACAGACGGAGTTGAGCTCTCTTTTCTAAACATCCATCCGTCGGGATGGAGAATGCAAGCTTGTGATTGGTCAGGGCACCGTTGTTGTCTACGCCGCCGCCATTGCGCCCTCAAAAGCTTAAAGAGAGCAGAGGATAACTAGCGGCAGACACGAAGAAGCTTGAAGAATACCTCGCGAAAAAAAACTCTAAATAAAAACTCTAAAAATATGAACGTTTAATTCCCCCGTGAGTGGAGGAGTGAAAACATACGCAGCAAGCGCTTTATTTGTGGACGGAAATGACAGGAAACGTGGGTTTAGAGGTGGCGAGCGCATGAAGAGGTGGAGGAGAATGAGAGACAAATATGTCCGTGTTAAAAAGTCTTATTGGCTGGTTGGTTTTGAAGTTAATGTCCACCCCTGGTAATGTATGCAAACTGGGCATTTAACATGGTAGAAAAGGTAGTGCTGCGTTCAACACTACGAATCTGATGCACCACCTTGAAAAAAAACTTGCTCTGCTCAGGTCACACAAATCGAATAAGCCAGGCGACACTAAAAGATACGTTAAGAAAATACGTCATCTACAGAGTAATGCCAAGATAGCAGCATTTTGCTTTGTGAAGTGCCTTGAGACTCGTCGTCGTCGTCTTCCTCCGCTTATCCGGGTCCGGGTCGCGGGGGCAGCATCCCAACTAGGGAGCTCCAGGCCGTCCTCTCCCCGGCCTTGTCCACCAGCTCCTCCGGCAGGACCCCAAGGCGTTCCCGGACCAGATTGGAGATGTAACCTCTCCAACGTGTCCTGGGTCGACCCGGGGGCCTTCTGCCGGCAGGACATGCCCGAAACACCTCCCCGGGGAGGCGTCCAGGAGGCATCCTGACCAGATGCCCAAACCACCTCAACTGGCTCATTTCGATCCGGAGGAGCAGCGGTTCTACTCCGAGTCCCTCCCGAATGTCCGAGCTCCTCACCCTATCTCTAAGGCTGAGCCCGGCCACCCTACGGAGGAAACTCATTTCGGCCGCTTGTATCCGCGATCTCGTTCTTTCGGTCATTACCCAAAGCTCATGACCATAGGTGAGGATTGGGACGTAGATCGACCGGTAAATCGAGAGCCTGGCTTTCTGGCTCAGCTCCCTCTTCACCACGACAGATCAGCTCAGCGTCCGCATCACTGCAGACGCCGAACCAATCCGCCTGTCGATCTCCCGATCCCTCCTACCCTCACTCGTGAACAAGACCCCGAGATACTTAAACTCCTCCACTTGAGGTAGGACCTCTCCCCCGACTCGTCGTAATTTGGTGCAATTTAAATAAATTGAATTGACGTTGGCTGTTGCAGTCTCCTTGAGTCGCAGTATGATCTGCTTTCTTATCCTAACTTTACAGACGTAGCAGCATGCAAGTGTTTTATAGAAAGGAGTGAACCTGCTGCTGACGGTCATGTGCCGTGCCATTCCTTTTGCAGGAACGCAAATCGTTGAAAACTGCCACACACTGAGTAAATTATGTGAAATATAAGCAACGAGGCCACGTTTACATACATTCTAAATATTAACACGTTTCTTATTAACGTACTTCCAAAATGAGATACTATGTTTTATGGCAGATACACTAAAAATGATAAATACAGAAAGAAATAAACACATTAAATTATTTTTAAAAAGTTAACGGGCAACTTTTGTGTGTTGTTATTCACACTGCATTTCTTAAGTATCGGATTGAGACTCGGTATCAGCAGATCCTTAAAATCAAATGACTCGGACTTGGATCAAGAGTAAAAAAAAAAAGCACGATCAAACATCCCTAGTTGAATAATTTGTTCGGCAGCTAATCAAGCTCTGCAAAAGCCTGTTGATCATCTGCTGATTACAATCTGGTGTTTTAAAGCGGGGGGCTGAACAAAAACATGCTGGACAGCAGCCCTCGAAGGACCAGGATTCTCCACCCCTGCAGTAAAAATACGTTACCGACCAACAAGGTGCAAAGCACCACAAAACATGCAGCCTCCTGACACCATAGGGAACAAGAGTTTCTAATGACACAATAGACTAGCTAGCTGGAATTGACAGCAAAATCAACATGTGTCATAAAATGTCTGTTTCAATCAAAGCACTAAAGAAACCCAACTTTGAATTTCAATCATTCCTTAAAATTATTACTTTTTAAAAGTTTAGATTAAATGTGAAGCTGAAATGAGACAACAAAAAAAGCTCAACTAAAAGTGAGAAACTAAAACTAGGCATGCCTAATAGAGGAGTCTCAACCTTCTGCAGATGTGTGAGATTTGGCCTTCCATACATAAGCTGTTGGTGAGAACAGGGAACAGCTGAAATGGCGGCACCAGAACATAAAAGAAAAGAGGAGGGGCTCAGTAAGGGCTAGTTCATGTTTCTGCTTGCAGGGGTGAGTGCTATGAAAAGCTGCATATGTTTAGACTTTCTGTTGGGTATTAGCTAATCTCCCTATAAAAATAATCCACTTTGGTGCTTTCTATGCCATGTAGCCCAACAGGATCCAGTGAGAGATTTAATTTGTACTTTAGTCATTCTGGGGACAAGCAAGTCATTTTTGTCATACACCACAAATGCAGGTACAACCTTGTGTCAGTTCTGTTCTTAAAAGGGTGGCGATTTTCACCAACAACCTTAGCTAGCAGCGCACATACAGAGAGGAAGTACACTGCAAAGGCTGTTGCATAGCAACACCCATCCCCCAACTCTAGCACAATCTAGTCCACAGTATGGTAATCTACAGCCAGCATGGACTGTACCACTTTGACAACTGCGCAGGGGGGTGCCTGACCTCTATTTGTCTTAAAGGGGCACAGAAGCATATTTCACAACAGAAATGAAAAAGGAAAAACACCAGACTGTTGTTGCTGAGAAGACCTTTAATTTAGCTGAAGTTCTGTTTAAATGACGGATTCCCTTTCCACAGAATATAATGATCTGGACATGTCCAAGTAACTGGAGAGAGGAGTGGAGGTGAATCATTTCTTTGTCAGAACCTCACTGAACTGCATTTTTCCATGTTTGCCTGTAGAGGAACCCTCTGTGGCTAGGTTTCAGTCATGTTAGCCTAACTATGTTACTTTGGACAGTGTGGGGGTGAAAAAGGACTTCAGTCAGATTGTAATTTGATCTCAAAGGTCTCTTAAAGATTACAGCTAATGTTATGTGAATAAGCCATTAGGAAACAGTAGAATTAAAACAAAAGGAAAATGAAAAAGAATAGGCCAAATACTCTACAGAATTAGATTATAACAGCACATTACAACTTCACTCAGAGAGATGCCGATGAAGATGAAGCTAACAAAATTCATTTTTAGTGCTAACACGGTGCCTTCTGGAGGTATTGAGAATAATGGTAGAAGGACTCTTACATTTTTGATTGTAAAAATGTCATCCTCACCCCACTACTTAACTGTCTTCACATAAATATTTAGCTAAATCTCTAGCTCCTTTACAACAAGACACTAAAAATGTAAATATGTTTCAATTTTACTTTCTCCTTTAAAAGCAAAGTCAATTCGGACCTAACCAAACTAAATGCTTTCCGCAAAAATGACTTGTTCTCTTGGCTCTTGTGGAACAAGTTTTAGCAGGTAGCAAAATGTTGTCACGATCCATTATTGTTATTTGTTATTTGAGCCCTTGAAAACAAACAAGGGTCTAACACTGAAGGTAAAGAAGAGAAGTTTGGTTATAACTGGCCCATATATTGAAATATTTGCTAAGTAACTGCTACAACACAGAAAAGCACGCTACTCTGACCAGAGCAAAACAATGCTACATACATGAGTCAGAGCTTAGCTAACAGCGCAAAGGCAGCGCTAAATTTCACAACCACAAAACAAAACCTAAAAGCAGCAGCCCCCACCCTCCCTTTTCTCCTTCCTCTCTCTCTGTCTGTGCCTCACTCTCACACACACTCGCACACCCTGCCTCTGGAACAGCCTCTCCTGTTCAAACATGGGCTGAACCACTCTCTTGAGGGGGAGGAGGTGGGGGAGGGGTGTAAAAAATGACAAAAGATCAACGATTGTATAAAAAAAATACAAACTACAGTCTCACATCTAACTACAAAAGCAAGGAATTTGATTGAACTCATCTGCTCAGGTTACACATGTAAAAAAATAAAAATTAAAAATAAATACTTTTAACCCTTAACACTCTCTCCTTAAACAATCTGAAATAGGTCAGAAAAAACTCCCTGAGATATCATAAGTAATTTTATTTATAAATTATTTTCAGGCACCAGTGGGAAGTCTCCTCCCCCACCCCTCCTAGTCTCCTCTATATTTTACAAGAGGAGAAAATGGCGACTTTAGCCTCACAGCCTCGTGCTAGCTGAACGCAGTAAACAAAAAAAAAGGCACAGCTTGTCAGCAGCTTCTCTGCCCTGCCTCCCCCAAAGCAGGGAGGGCTGATGGTAATCAGACTGAACCATTGCAGGAGAGGGGTGGCTCCTTAACACAAAGAGTAACACAGAACCATCAGTTAAATGGTTACTGGTGTATTACAAATTCCTGTTTTGGTATTTGAACCTAGTGATTTTAACACCATTAACAGAGTCCCCACTGATAACTCAGATCAGACTCACTCTTTCTGATGAATTAGTTATGATCATGTTATTTTTTTTACTAGTTTAGTTAAATCAGTATTCTATATACCCTGATTAAATCACATTTTTAGAAAGTAACTCCAAACTAGCTGTGAACTCACTGCCCAACCCCCACATCTCATTTCTTCCACTGCAGAAGCACAAAATGGCCACTGGTGTGTTACAGCACAGAGGAGCAAGAGGAGATCATGTGGCAAGCTCCGCCCACAAAAAAAGACTGCCATCTCTGCACGTTACAGCGGTGAACTAAATCCTGGTTTAGATTGTTGTTGCAAGAGTCAGTCCACATGAGCAGTCTCTGTTCAGCAACACACACTGAGATCCAACTACAAACATCACTTTCATAGGATTTTCATTTTTAACCCAGTTTAACACTGAATCTCTTGTCACCCAAGACTAGAGAGGAAATGGCGCTTTTTGTCGTTCTGGCTTTAAATACTTAAACATGGATGTTAAACAAAGGAAATCCAATCCCTTGGAGCTGTGACACGGTGGATGTTGTTTTTAACAGCTGATAAATAATCCTACAAAATAAAAGTACAAAATTACTTACATTTTCTTTTAAAGCTAAAAGCTGAGTGAGAAAAAAAGTTAGGGCAGGCACTGCATTCAACTATACTGCGCATAGCGCGCAGTCTTTCCCTCCCCCCTCGCTGCCTGCCTGCATCTGGATTCACTGAAACTCAAAATGGCCACAAGGTCTGCTGTGTGCAGCAAAGCTGGGCTCCTTCTTGGTTAAGAGTCAATCAATAAAATCTGCCCGCGTGAATCATTTTCATCCAGATGTTTATGTTGAGCTGGGTTGGAGCTATATTGTAAATTAATTTAGTCAAGTACAATACCACCTTAAGAATGTAGGAAATATGCTTCCATGATGTAACGTGGTTAATTAAAATCTGCCGACGCACGTAAAAGTTCTTTGCTTTTAAATTAAAACTGGATTTTACCCATTAAAAAGTTAGTTTCCCTAGTCACCCTGGTTATTTTGTGAAACATCATGGAAAACATCATTTAGTCTTCACTGACCTTGACCTTAGCAGCTGATTTATATAAAAAAGAAGCAGTAACTCCAGTTGCAATGGTGACATTTATGAGGGAGGGGCTATCTACTGAGCTAGGTGAAGAAATAAAGTGTGATGTCAACCTAGTCTAGTTCAATTTTTGTTAACACTTTCCCTCTCAAACAGCTCAGTCCTTTCATGCATTTATCTTGGGGCTATGGACGCGCGTCAGGTTGAGTGGTAGATCTGAATAATCTAGGGCTGTAGAAACGAGTGAGACTGTGGGCGTTAGCTAACAAGAGTGTTCAGTCTCATCATTGAACAGGATTAGTTAAACTTAAATGACAAGGTTTAGAAAACGGTCCTATAGGATGTCCACAATACTACTGACTCAAAACAGCTCAACAAAAAAGAGAAAGCCACAAGCTTTTACATTGTATACATGTGCATCATTTTCTAGAGTCCAACCAGAAAGAGACAGGACTTTGTAATCACACAATGTGCTCTCAATGTCTACGTGTGAGCGAGATCTCAGTTGCAGAACTTTGCTACAAATCAGTCATTAAATGCTAAAAATTGATCACTATCTTATTAAGCCCAACCTAATATCTCACGTTACTTAATATTAATCTCCCTAAACGATCAGTCTTGTTGCATGCGAATTATACTAAGCAGCAGTAGCAACAGCTGCTTTAAATCCTTCCTGTGACATGATTATATATTTTTTATTAATTTTGTAGTTTCATCAGCGTTATTTTATTAAACCTTCAACTATTAGCAAAATCTATAATTTTGTTTACATTTGACATTTAAGCTTCAATGCAACTTTACAAAGCAAGTGTGAATCTTATTTGGTCTGAAGACAACATATCAGGTCACATTTTTACTTGAGATATCTATATGGTATACAAGTAAACAAATGAAAGAGTGATCAGTACCAAGAAATAACTGAACCATCTAACAGCATATCTTCTTAGCACACACCACTGCTCAAGCGTTGTACGCGTGATTTGCTTTTGTAGCACCAAAGCAGAGCTCAGCAAGAGCAGGGTAGAGGGAAACAGGAGCGGGAGGGGGTGGGCAGAGCCAGGATTTTCCATCTAAATCAAGACTATGGTGATTATTTTCTAGCTATGCGCAACTGAAAGAGGCTTGTGCCATTGCTAGAACAAAATGAGAAAATGAGATTGACTAAAAGCACATAGACAGGCAAGGTTAGCCATGGCTTACATAACACACAACAGTAAAACAATTGGTTTATTGAGGCTCAGATAAATTAACTTGCAGTATCTCCTTTAGCTCTGATACAAGTGTAACTACCTTGTAGGATCACTAATGTGTTGTCGGTTTAGGTCAGACTGTTGAGTCTGACTAAAGCTAGCACTACACACTTCGATCTCTAGTCCTGAGCCAGACACAGAACGTCAGCACAGCGCCCATCCCCCACACCGACAGCCTGGAATTTTACTGCCGAGCATGGACTACACCATTGCAGCAGAAGGGTATTCTCATCAAACAGTGAGCATACTATAGAACGGAATGACAACTTCAAAGCTGTCTACAAGACCCAAACTCTGTGGCTACATGTTCAAAATATAACTAGACTTCAGAAGGCAACACTCTCAGTTACTTATATTTTTCCTAAACTGAGATTATCCATCTCTGGCCCCAAAATGGTAGCTCAGCCCTCTCCTGCCGTTTGATCAAAGTTTAATTAAATCTCTCCAACAAGAATTTGAATATTTTAATGGATGAAAACATTTCTGTGGAAATGTTTTTATATGTAAAGATAAACTCAGCATTATATGTTCTTTTCCACTTTCTTCTCTAAAACATCTGCTAAAATAAGCTTCTGTATTAATTTTAAATGGCAAAAACATTAGCACACAACCTTGCATATGAGATGGTATCTAAAAACCTAGCTTCCTTGATGCTTTCCCCAAGTGCATTTTTCATTTGACTGATTGCTTGCAGTGAATGCTACAGCCCAAATGGCTGCCACAGCTGCAAGGCTAACCCATTTAATGGATGGAATAGAGATGCCCACGATCACTTTTGTTCTTCTAAATCCTGTTCACTTCATTCCCTTTTTATTATCCACATATGAGCACCAACATAAATTAAAGTGGACACAACACTATTGCATTCCTTACACCTATTATTCTTTGTGTACATTGCCAAACATGAAATGGGTTGTGGCTACATATTCTACATAGTAAAATATAAATACGTTTAACATTTCCACAAAATTCCCTTAAATTTCAAAGCACAGACTCTACCGACACATGTTAACCAAACTTAACCCACACATTACCTACTAGCACTATTATAGTGATGACTGCTGTCCTGAAGCCTGGTTTATACATCAGCTGAGCAAAGGAAATGCAACATCAGTTCTTTCCCCAGCGTATCAGGCCTTGCTTGGAACCTTGCGTCCAACTCCCCACCCCCTCCTTTGTTGTCATGGACAACGCGTGGTAGAAAAAGGAACCGAGCGCCCCTCCTCCGCTGTCATGGATGACATGTGGAAGCAAAAGTGTCTTTGCCTATTATCTTCCTGCATCTTCTCTCAATCCTAAAGAAAAACTGCTACCTCAAATGGATGTACCGACCGCAAAAACAGTGGAGTGTGCGCTGCGCGCCGGCCGCACCACTGAGGTGAAGTCACCAGAGGACAAAACAGGTGATGCGTTTCACTGCTGCGGAGCTCATCAGGCACAAATAAAAGACAGAAAGCATAAAAAGGGTATGAGCAGACATAAACAATCGTGTGTTAAATATTTTTTTTGAGGTGGCGACACTTTGAGAATGTGACTGTGACGATGCTCAGGACGTAGCTGTCTGCAGCGCATCAACGATCAGAGCTTCGTGCCTCTCAGCTCAAAATAATCTCCGGAGAGTCCACACAAATAATGTAATATAAGTAGAACCAGGATTTTTTGGGGGCTCTCCCTGGGTGTGTAAGTCGAGGGCCTTCTACCCTCGCGTAAACTGGGCTCCCTTTAGCTCACCCGTAATTCAAACCCCGCGTATAGCACAAGTTGGTCACGTGAGTTGCTGGAACCTAGCAGACAATTACCGGAATGGCCATTTCAAAATATGACAGTTACCGGATCTTGTTCCAGCAAGATCCAGCTCAAATTAACCCCTGGATACACTGAAATGAAAATTTTTGTCTGAAAGTTAAAACGAGGAAACCAAAACCGAAAACCAAAACGGCGAAAGAAATTGTTGCTAATAATTGGAACAATAGCATTAGGACTGTAAGATGAACTCTTTAATAACAAAAGTCACGATATTACATTTAACTCATTCACTGTCATTGACGACTAAAGTCGTCATTTTAGATCCAACCGTTCAATGCCAATGATGACAAAAGTTGTCATTTACATTTTTTACTGTGTGGGCGTCAGAACGAGCATCCGCACCGTGAGAACAAACATCTCAGCTCTAAAGCCGATCTTCATCCTCATATGTCACATGATCAGGAAACAGAAAATCCATGTGTTAGATCGTTTTGTAGCCTAGTGAACTAGACCAAATTCTTGCTTTGCAAAGTTTGGTCTAGGCATGCTCCATTGGAACCTCCGCAGCTCTCACCAGGACTCTGGCTAGCCAATCACAGCTCTCTAGAGGGGTTTCAAACACATAAAGAGCAGTGATTGGTCCATAATGGTGGGCCAATCATAGTGCTCTATCTGCTTAGTGAACAAATCACAGAGCTTTTTCCGCTTTGTGGGCCAATCAGGGCACTCTATATGACGGGTGGGTGGGATGATGCAACAGAGTGAAACAAGGGTATGTCACATTCATTGTCCAGTGGAATGCAGAGATCATTTGAAAGACAACGGTAGAACCCGCCCCACAACCGAGAGCCGTCAATGGAGCATGGCCAGACTAAATAATACATTTATTTAGTCTGACTTGCCAGGCTAATCGTTTTGGGCTGCTGCTGTAAAAAAAGTGAGGCGCGAACCGGAAAAGCTTCTGCTGATCACAATTCAAAAACGGATTACGAAAGAACGGATAATGCTCGAAACGCGCGGATTCTTCCTGATGTAAGAGGTGAGTCTCCGCTTTGTTTTGGCATCGGCATCATCCTGGTGCGCAACATTCTGTGACTCTTAAAACAAACAGTAAAAACGGTGAGAAACGCTGGCAGCGAAGGGCTTTACCGATCAGGAAACGGGTGGCAGCGAATGAGTTAATGACCCAAATATGTTTCCCATATAAAGTTATGACTTTATACCAGAAGACAGTGGAGATGTGTAACTTCAATCTAACCAGCACTTTTGGGTGTTTCTATTGAATTTTTTAAAGTTAATAGGGTCTAAAAAACAGCATTACTAAAAGGGCAAAAACGTGACTTTTGAAATCAGTACTAATGTACGATTTTTATGAAGCAAAGAGCAAGTTGCCACATTTGGGCAGAGGGAGATTAAACAAAATGGGGTGGTGACTGCATGAGGAGGTGGAGGAGGATGACGGACAAATTCCTTGACGTTGCCACAATTTACACTGTTTTGGGGTGTTCCACCCAGCGTCATAAAAAATACAGTGCTTCTGTCATTCATCGAACTTTGCTTTTTATGCCACACAGCAGTTTTGTGTGCACATGTATAGCTGTGAGCTTCTTACAGAAGGGGAGGGGGGAGCTGGAACTATTGAAGCTTTGCACGAGGGCTGCATATCGCAATATCAGCGTGTGCAATATGCATATCGCAAAGAACAGATAAATATCGCAATGAATGGTCAGCTCAAATGTTTGCTACACATAATGCATTCTGTCAATGAAATGGAAGCATCAATAGAGCTCTTCACCCATTTGGCGGAGGTGGACGGCACCTAATTTTAATGGTTAGCAAACACCCGAGTTAGCTTTGTTCTGCTCTTTCTGCTGATTCTGCTTTTCCCGGGACCCAATGATTGCCTTTTCTCGTTCATTTTCTTTTTTCCCTTTACTCGCATCTTTTGCTTTTCTCATTTCTATGATTTTTTTGTCATTTTCTTTTTTCTTTGTTTTTGATGATTTTTGTTCCTGAGTTAAGTTTTTATTCATCGCAAGCAATATCCCCATTGAAATATTAATCACTGTTATCGCATATCACATGTTATTCTAATATTCTAATATCGTGCACCTACGTCAAGTGGGTCCACCATACTGGACAGCAAAACTTGTCAATAGTAAGGTTGGGCGATGGGACGAATGAATCGACCATTGGCGATGGGCTTAGCCGTTACAGTTATGTTTTACAGGAGACAATTTGTTTATTTATTCATTAGTTTGCTATTGACAAATATTTTACACGCTATGCCCTTCTATCTTTCAGAGTCTGGAAGACTTCTGGTTATTTAATTTGGAGAGATGTTTCCTGATTAAAACTTTGGCTGAAGTAGCGCTCGTCATTATTCAGCACTTGCTTTGAGTGTGTCAGCAGAGCACGGATCCATCCAGAACATTATTTAAACAGCCATGAGTGTCTGAGGCAAAAGTCTAGAAGCTCATAACCTCTTCAGCAAGCTCCATAGAGACATTTGATTACACACAAGCTGCAGGTGACCAGTTCAGGTTTACGTGGCACAGGAGGAATATGCGTTAGAGCCGCAGCAGGTGAAATGTTTCTAATTTAAGTAAAATCGATTAATTGCATTGTTCGTGTTACTGGGGCATTCTGATCAGCTTGGTTGGACTAAATATTAATTAAAATGAACAAAATTTTACGAATGATTATTCATTATTTTACATGTATGTCCTTAGTTTTCATCAAAGTTATTTGAAAAAAAAACTGAATGAGTTGAGTTTACATTATTTTCTGTTAGTGTTGCCAACTACGCATCAAGCCATTACCATTTTACTGTGAAATCAACAAAATAAAAGCGATAAAAAGACTACAAACTGGCATGTTTTGACTAGCTTTACTAGAGTTACAACATGTGTAAAAGGTCTTTTCGCCGTCCATTATGGCAAAGGGGACAGTCCCATGAGTAATGCGACATCACAAGCAAAAAGGTCCATAGCTGTTCAAATTTCGACACCTTCTCCCGTCCTTGATGACGTTATGCTATGAACCACAGCTTAAAGATCAGGAACAGTAAGAAAATTCCAAACAGAAGCACTGATCATTGCATGGTAGTGTGTAAATGTAGAGTGTCCGCCCTGGGACTGGGAGTTTGGGTTCAAAACCGGTTGGGTCATACTAAAGACCTATAAATGGGACCCAATGCTCCCTTAGCTGTAGGGCTTGGATTGGGGGGTTAAACCACCAAATAGTTCCCGAGCATAGTCAAAGCTGCAGCTCATCGCTCGCCAAGGGGATGGGTCAAATGCAGAAATGTAATTTCACCAGAGTGTGATGATGATAGGGCTGGGTGATATTTTCAAAATATCGCTATATCGCCCAGCCCTACATGATGACTAATGGGACTTGACTGGACTTGTCTTTAAAGCGAGTAAGAGTTTCTTCAATTTGGCAAAAATCTTTTTAAAGCATCATCAGGCTGATTGAATGCTATAATGATAGGTGCTCATAATTAGTCGTTTGATTGCAGCACTGCATGATGCACCAGATCCACTTACTAAAACATATGCTCTCCAATCGAGGTCTGAAAGATCAGTTGCTGATCAACTTTAATCCTTTGTTCTGCTCTTGAACTAAAGCAAGTTTACATTTGTCATTGTATAATTGAGTAAATGTATATTTGAGTAAAGTAGCAAGTAGGATAATCTTGTTTATTGCCTTTACATTAAATGAGCTAGCTTAACTCTATGAGCAAAGAAGTCCTTTTCACAAAAGGGTACATGAACTCTTCAGTGACTTTACTAGATTACTGTATCAAACCGTTAGTATTTTTAAAGGGGTCAGGTTTGATCCTGCATTAATGTCTTTCACATCTTTGATACAAACCACCAAAACAGGGCACTTCAGGAAGGGAGGCAGGAAAGTACAGGAAGATAGTCATTTGTTCAT